CACACACACACACACACACACACACACACACACACACACACACACACCAAGTTCTACAGAAATGTCATTTTTAACATAAATAAATTATACCTAAACTGAAAATGGTTATTCTTCACTGGTGCTACTTAATTAGAGTGCCATCACCAGATACTCAATGTTATGATCTTCCTTTCTGTAAAACCAAGAAATAAGTCATCTGCGTGTCACTATAGTCCTCAACTGTATTTTTCCCATTCCATCTCCTCCTTGGATTTCCAACTTCCTTCTCAATTCACCCCAAATCTGACATCTGTAAGCCAAGTTCAAACCCTCAGTTTATGAGAGATTTCATGTCTTTTCACCTACTGACTACTTCTAAGCCTAGTGAATTCCTTTCATGCTCTCTGAAGGCTCCATTTAACCTAACTATTCCCTTCTGGTAAACACTCCCACTTGATCACTGGAACCTGGGATACAGACCAAAACACTTCCCCCTCCAAGACAGTGTTTCTCTGCGCAGTCCTGGCTGCCCTAGAACCACTCTGTAGACTAGGCTGCCTTGAATGCAGAGATCTGATTGCCTCTGCCTCCCAAGAGCTGGGATGAAAGGTGTTTACCACCATGCCCAACTCAACAAAACACTTTTGATCATAAAGTGCCACCCATAAAATACTACTAGGCTAATATAAACTTAGGACTCACCATGGAGGTATCCAGACTAAATGTGCTTCCAAGCCTAGGAACATCTACCCTGGGTTCCATTTGTGAGGGCAATGAAAATGGAAGTGAGTGTCGATTGGTCAATTCTCTTCCATTCCAAGGATCACTGGGGTTTGGAGTAGCTACTGGTACTTTTGGGATTGGCCGAGACAACCATGAGTCCCCTGGGCGGCTAGAGGGGACAGGGGGCAGCTTGTCTCTAGATGGACAGTCGCCTGGTGTACATGGCAGGGGGCGTCTCTGAGGCCTTGCTTCTGCTCCAACAGAGTAAGGCCGGTCTGGTGGGGGTGGTGGTGGAAGATCTCGAAGCGTGGGAGGTATTGGCAATGGTTTGTCCTTATGAAGGGAGCTAGGAGCAGCCTATGGAAACAAGATGGAAACAAGTCAACCAAAACCACTAATACACAACAAAGGCTCAAAAAGGACAGAAATGGCTAATGCTTTGCCTTGGAAGCAGTCCCCAGAACTGAAGTGCTGGCAGGAACAGGTGCTCGCTGTTGTAGAAGGTCAAGTCTTGGCGGAACTGGAGGAAGGGAAGCTTGTGGGGCCATAGAGAATGGAGAAGAAGGCCTTTCCACCTAGAACAGAGGAGATGTTAACACCTTACTTAGGAAACAGCATATTTCAATCCTAAAACTACAGAAACTAAATGCTATGAGGTCATAGGTGCTGGGTTACACAAATCTCTAAAATCACAAATATTTTTGGAATCCTGGGCCATGTCTATATCACCATAAGAGGGCACTCTCAATGACAGATGGCAGGCTATATAGGCAAATTCATTTAGAAAGGCAATTCTACCAAAAAGAGCCTACCTTACAATTTAAAAATCAATACAATACTCCATCTCTTCATCTTTGAAGGAAAAAAAAGAAGAAACTAATATTGTCAAGATTAAAACTAGGTAAATGTGCTTGCTCTGCAAGCCTGGCAACCTGAGTTTGAGCCCTAGAATGCATGTAAAGGTGGAAGGAAAAAACTGAGTCCACAAAATTGTAAATTCAGTGCCACAGGAATGCCATGGTACCCCCTGCCTCCCGCAACACACAAAAACACATACACAAATAATAAATACATAAATAAAATTTAGAGACAAAAGATATATATTATCTGAAAAAAAGAATATAATAAGTCAAAATTCTAAAAACAACCAAAACACACAAGAAACATTGAAGAGACAAAGACAGACTAACCAGAGCCTCAAAAACCAGGCTTCGTTTCAGCTGAGATTTAAGATTAACTTTAGCAACTAAAAAAGTTAAGTATGCATCAAGTATTCACCAAGCTAGCTCTCACTCCATCAGTACCTACTCCAGTACTTGTTCATTTCCTCTGAAGACCTTCAACTCTATAGGTTCCCTTTCATTCTAGGCATTAACTTGAAACCTCATTTTTAATAAGAACAAGCTTCTTGAGTTGGGCACTGCAACACCCTTCACTTTTCTGAGAAACCAAGGATAGGGCAAACCTGAACACTGTGGATAAAGAGCAAGAAAAAATGAGTAGGAGTGAGGATACTATGATATACGGCAAGAAGATAGGATATGTAGCTCTTGTGATTTAGAGCTGAGTTGAAAAATATTTTTAATTTCATTTTTATTTGTGTGTGTGTTGTACGTGAATGCCAACTGTGTGCAGGTAGCCACAGAGGACAGAGTAGGGTTCCCTATCCCATTGAGCTGGAGTTACAGTATGGTGCTTGTAAGCTGCTCCACAATGTCCAGAGGACTCTGGGCATTGAACTCAGGTCCTCTGGAAAAGCACCAAGAGTCCTTAACCACTGAGTACCTCTCCAGCTCCCTGAGCTGAATGTTTGTAACTAGAATCCTCGAACTAGCCACTGTCTTAGTTAGGGTCACTACTGTTGTGATGAAGCATCATGACCAACCAAACTTGGGGAGGGAGGAAAGAGTATACTGAGCTTACACTTCCACATCACTGTTCATCATAGAAGAAAGTCAGGACAGGAACTCAAACAGGAGAGGAATATGGAGGCAGAAGATGATGATGCAGAAGCTCTGGAGGAGTGCTGCTTACTGGACTGCTCAACCAGCTTTCTTATAGAACCTGGGACCACCAGATACCACCCATAATTGGCTGGGCCCTCTTCCATCAATCACCAATTGAGAAAATGCCCTACAGCCTGGCCCACAGCCTGATCTATTGGGGCACTTTTTTTCAATCAAAGTTTCCTCCTCTCAGATGACTAGGGTGTGTCAAGTTGACATAAATCTAGCCAACATACCAACTAGGGAGCAAGTATTCAAATACATGAGCTTATGGAGGTCATTCTCATTCAAACTACCAGAGATGATCAAGTGGCAATACATAAATGAAGAGTTTTGTTTTATAATTTCTACAAGGCAAAGGAGAAAGTATTCATTCCCCCACCCCCACAAACAAGGTTACTCTGTGTAACCCTGTCCTGGAACTTGCCTCTGGTGTGCTGGGATTAAAGGCATAGACACCACTCTCATTTATTTCTTTTTATCAACTGCCTGTAATATTTAAGAAATATATACCCAACCATTTGTCTCCCTGTGCTAAAGAGTGATTCACCTGCACCTACATTGTCTTCCTGAAGAAAGGTACTAGGGAGCTCGAGAGCTGGCTCAGTGGTCAAGAGCACTTGTCCTTGCAGAAGACTCAGGTTCAGTTCCTAGCACCCACACAGTGGCTAACAACCATTCACAGCTCCGGTTCTTGGGAACTTAATGTCCTCTTCTGATGCCCATGGGCACTAGGCATACACGTATTGCACAGACATACATGCAGGTAAACACTCAGACGCAAAGTCTGAACTAATAGAAAAAGCATGCTACTAGTTCCCAAGCATCTTATCTAAGATTGCTGGTTCTGCACAACACTCTACAGTGACCTGAGTATCTGGATGACGCACGCCTTGTCAGTCTTTTTATTTCATAAAAGCCCTCTAAGTTTCTACCCTCAGAAACAACAGTGAATAAGCATGTGTGCAGTGAGTCATTCAGTTTTTCTTATGGATATGACCAAAAAGTTATTATCTATTTATTTGTAGGGCTAAGGATCATTCATATTTAGAGACTCACTTATGATGGCTAGTTTTTTTTGTTGTTGTTGTTAACTTGACACAGCTACAGTCATCTGAGAGAAGGAAACCTCAACTGAGAAAATGATTCCAAAAAACTGGCTTACAGGAAAGCCCATAGAGCATTTTATTGATTGGCTGAATGACTGACTTGGTGGTTGACTTGGAAGGGCTCATCCCTTTGGCGGTGGGTGAATGGCCTCCCTGAGGCAGATGGTCCTGGATGGTATAAAAAAGCAGGCTGAGACCAGGCATGGTAGTACATGTCTTTAATCTCAGCACTCAGGAGAATAAACACAGACAGATCTCTCTGTGACTTTGAGGCCAGCCTTGTCCATATAACTAGTTCCAGGATAGCCAGAACTACATAGAGAGACCCATGCACAAGTGCATGCATGTGTGTGGTTGAGCAAGCCAGTAAGGCCTCTGCATCAGTTCTTGCCTCCAGGTTCCTACCTTGAGTTCCTGCCCTCAATTCCCTGGAAACTGTAAGCTATAAACTCTTTCTCCCCAACTTGCTTTCAGTCAGTGCTTTGTCGTAATAATAGCAATGCTGACCAAGACATCACTCTAACACCAAGCTGTTATCTCCAATGGCCCCAAATTCCAGACTTACTTTGGCACCTGCCAACTCCTTCATCATGAAGAGAGAGTCATCAGCTCTTTCATCATCATCGTCGTCGTAATTTGGGGAAGGAGCTCCTTCTGCTCCTTGCCTTAGTAGACTGCCACTGCCTCTGGGGTCAAATGGATCCACCACAATGGGCTCAGTACCTTTTATCTCACATCGACAAAAAGGACAGCCCTGACCTTCTGATTCCTGAAGAAGAAGCAGATGATAATAACAGATACTTCTGAAAGTGTTTAACATACTTATCTACTAGAAAATATAGTTCCTAGAGATAGAAGTAGAATCAACAAGGGATAAAGCTCAGGAGTAATGTGTGTACTTAGCAGGACCTAGAGTCATTCCTCAGTGCCCAGAAAGAGAAAAAGGAAAAAAAGCCAGATATTGTGGCCCACCCTTGTAGCCAGCATTTGTGAAGTACAGGAAGCAGAAGGTACAGGAATTTAAGGTCTTCTTCCAAATCTGATTCAAAGGCCAACAGTGGTTAAATGAGGGCCTACATTAAAAAACCCAAAGAGGAGAAAACAAGCCAGTAGGAGAGGAAGGGGATTTAAAAGATTAGACTTACCCATCCTTTCTATCTACAAAGTACATATAATACCTGATTCTTGGAATGACTACAAAGAAAAAAATGCAGAGTTTGATATGCATACCTGCCAGGATGTAAGGCAGGATGTGCACATGAGGTGTCCGCAGGGCTCAATCTTCACATCCTTATCATTCTCAGCACATATTTTACATAGCTGAAATGTGGAGCCCATCTCACAGTATAATTCATATTGTTCCTTTGATGAAAAAAATTGAGAGATAACACATTGAAGGAGCAACAATTTACTCAAACAGAAATATCATAATAGATTTGCTGAACACATGGCACAAATAGTAGAAAAACTGTTTGCTGTATAAGCATGAGGACCTAGCATCCACCTAAGAGCCAGTGTGGTGGATTCACATCTGTAACATTATTGCTAGGGGCTGAAGACAAAGGGATCCCAGGGGCTTGATAATCAGCCACCCAAGCCAATCAGTCAGCTCCAGGTTCAGGAAGAGACCCTGTTTCAAAAAAGCAGGATGAAGAGTGACTAAAAAATACTCAGTGTTGACTTCAGGCCTCCTCATGCACATGCAATGGAATAACACACACACACACACACACACACACACACACACACACGCATGCACACACGCATGCATACACGCTCGCTCACTCACCCACTCACTTGTCAACGGTTTAAAATCTAACTTCAATTCTGAGTTCCAAGAGTACATCCAGAAGCTTTGCTCCAGCAATATATAGTTATAAAGCAGAACTCACTTGGGTTACTTTGATATGATCTTGCGGAGTTGGTTCACATAAACCTGTCAGGTCAGGATTTTGATTTCGTCCATCAGGAAACAAATAGCTATGAAGAGATAAATCATCCTTGGGGCTTCAACTAGGCCAATTTATCAGTGCAAACTAAAACAGACAAATGAGATCTACCACATTTAAAAAAAAATAAGTAACAAGGGGCCGAAGAGATAGCTCTTTGGTTAAGGGTACTGGTTGCTCTTCCAGAGGACTCAAAGGGTTTTTGTTGTTGTTTGTTTTTGTTTTTATTTTGAGACATTATCTCACTATGTAATCCTGGCTGTCCTGGAACTCAAAGACCCACCTGCCTCTGCCTTAAGAGTGCTTTAGAGCCAAGAGGATCCAAGTTTGAATACCAGCACCCAAATGGAGGCTCAGAACTGTCTGTAACTCCAGTTCCAGAGTTCTGATGCCCTCTTCTGCTCTCCTCAGATAACAAGTACATAAGTGGTACCTATTTGGGCTTGTATGCAGGAAAGCACACACACACAAATAGCAACAAGTAATAAGCCAGGTGGTATCACACACCTTTAATCCCAGCACTTGAGAATCAGAGGCTGACAGGTCTCTTTAAATTGGAGGCCAGCCAGGTCCACATAATGAGTTTTAAGCTACCCAGTGCTACATGAGACCCTGTTTCAAAAATCAAAATAAAATCTCCAAGTAACTATTACCTTGGCCTGAAGGTTGTATCAAAACAGCTAGCTGATGGGTCATAGTTTGTCAACTCCTATTTTCAATGAATGGCCATGAGTTATAAACATTGTTCTGTTTTTGATTGCTGAGGGGGTCTTGTTATATAGCCTAGGCTGGCCTCAAACTCACAATCCTCTTTGTCCAGTTCTGGAGTGCTGGGATTACAGGTGTATGTCACCATGCCCTGCCCTGTATTTGCTTTTGACTAAAGACTTATACAGACACTAATTTACAAGTAATGTAATAGGAAGCAAATGAGGTCATTGAGGTCATCTACCACCATACTACTCCAATGTTAGGAGCAGCGCTATTTCTTGTCTCAGTGCTACATGATGGAAAATGATTTTCCATTGTCACTTTAGAACACAGCTGGTTTTCTTATACTCACTCAACATTATTTTCAGTGTTTACTGACTGAATTCCCAGAGGAATGGTAATTCAGGAGTGAGAAACTTAGCCATAAACATTAGCATACATCACAAAAGTCCAAGGCTTGAAGAAAAACTGCTTAAAAAAAGACTAAAGCTAGGCTAAAAGGCACTGAGGTCTACTGTCATTGGAACACCTAATCACTTGCATAGTGACTAGTAAAATAAGCAGCCAAAGAATGTCCTGATCCTTGCATAGTTTTTAATTCTAATTTGGCTTTAAAACTAAGTTATTTGGAAAAGAGATAAAGTTTATTTGTGGTAATAATTAAAACAACAGAGAAAGCCAAGCTCACACTTAGAGAACCCCTCAAAAGAGCAAAGCTGTTTCAACCTCAAGGCCATAGCAAGGCAGCATGCTAACACATTCCTAAGATTTTAGACTGCAGAAGAAACAAGCAATAGAAGCCATTCATGAAGAGGTACTGAATGAGGAGGTACTGGAGTCCCCCAGATCCTAAGTTCTAAAAGAAGATAGAAAGCAGTGATACTCACAAGCCTTCCCTGAAGCCATCAATCAGTGCTTGGAAGAGTGGTTTATTGTGTGGGATTGTCTGCAGAATGTTCCCATCTGCAGTAACGTACCCAATAGCCCACTGACCCAAACGAGTACAGCTCAGCCGGAAGATGTAACTGTGAACAGAGATTACCAGAAGTTTCAATATATATGCTGGTATTAGATAGAGGACAAGCCAGAGACAAAATAAAAAAAGAACACTAAGAATAACTTCTTTAGGGTGAAAGGATGAATATGAATAAAAACAAAGTATGTATGAAAATGTAATAATAAAACTGTTTCTTTGTATGCTAACTTGAAAAGAATTTAAAATAACTTTTTCAAGGGCCTGGGGGACAGTTTAGGGGAAGATGAATACTTAGTATGCCTGTAGCCCTGGGTTCAATCTCCAACTTTAAAAAAAAAAAAAAATTCAACTTCTCTAAAGATACCAGAATAGAAGCAAAAGCCATCTAATCCTCTGTGTTCTATCTTTTGGAGACAGAGTTTACAATATGTTTCTGTTTGGTCTCAAACCACCTGCTTCAGTCTTCCAAGCTCCTGTGTACTGGCACTCCAAGCACCCAGCATAAACCCCATTCTAAACTGGCTTAAAAACATTTACTGAGCCAGGCACAGTGGTGCACACCTGTAATCCCAGAACTCAGGGAGGCAGAGGCAAGCAGACTGCTGTGAGTTCATGAGCAGCCTGGTCTACAAAGTGAGTCCAGAACAGCCAAGGCCACATAGAGAAACCCTGTCTTGAAAAAACAAAAAAAAAAAATTTTTTTTAACTAAATCACAGGATATGATTAAGTCAATTCCCTTGATAGATGTCAATCCTATCCCTAAATCTGGGCCACTGGAGAACCAATAAAAGATGACATTCCTCCAATTCTAAGATAAGTCATGAGAATGAAATTCAGGAGAACAAACCCCTTTGCTTCAAGGCACTGACCTGCCAGGTTTGTGAATGAACTTCTGAAGCCGTGCTTTCACTTCATCATATGTCAGGAAAGCCATGTAACCAGGGTGAGTTACAGCAAGGCTATTCCAATTTCTGAGCAAGGAAGACCAGGGCTAAAGAAATAAAAGATCAATCTCAGACCATTTGGCTCAGACATACAACCAGCCTTAGAACAATGAAGAACAAAGAAAAACTTCCAACTCTCAATTATAAATTCAGTTTGTCACAAATTCTCTACTGTCATTCTATGGGAAGACAAATATATTTGGGAGAGCTAAAAATACAAGCTGCCTTGTATAGGGAGAAGACTACACACACACACACACACACACACACACACACACACACAAATTACACAGCACCTCCAACCAGTATTATGACAAAACCCAGAAAAACAGAATAGGGCCTATATGCAATTATTAAGCTCTTTAATGAATATTTATTCAAGCTGGCACACACACATTGAAGTACTAATGCATTTTAAGATTAACAATCTAGAATGGGATGGGAAGCCAGGCATGGTGGTACAAACTGTAATTCCAACACTTTGGGGATAGAAACAGATGGATCTGGAGTTCAAGGCTAGCCTTGGCTACATAGCAACCTTGAGTCTACCCTGGGCCACATAAGATTTTATGAGAGAGAGAGAGAGAGAGAGAGAGAGAGAGAGAGAGAGAAATGAGCAATAGAAAAAAAAGTTGGAAACTGACATCAAAGAAATAAAAGAAAATAGGCCTTTGAACCTAGGACCTTTCCCAACTCTCAAGTTCATTTCATTCTTGGGAATGCCTTTTCTTGTCTTCCTTCCTTCCTTCCTTCCTTCCTTCCTTCCTTCCTTCCTTCCTTCCTTCTTCTTTTCCAAGCATTTCTCAAATTTATTGGATAACATTTGTATTTACATACAGCTTTTATCCAGAAGACACTGGGTACAGGGTCTCTTCTGAACACATATCACCTTCTCAAGGATTTTGGTCCTCAAAGAAAGGCTCACTATATAAATTTAAATATCCAAGGTAGGGATGATTTCTTTTAATTGGCATTAAACTTATGATAATCAATATTTGCATTTCTTTTGCTTTGTTCTTCTCTCATATATTACATTCCAAATGCAGTTTCTCTTCCTTCCCCAATCCCCTCCCTTGTTCTTAATAAACTCTATTTCTGCCACCACCTACCTACCCCAAAGGGATAACGATGTCCATTTCTGACAGCTGTGACATTAACATAATGCCAAAGAATGGTCAAGAGTAACAGCAAAAAAGACACGAGAACAAAAATTATAGCCACTTTCTAAAGATTATTTATTTATTTTGTGTAAGTATACTCTGTCTTCATACCAGAAGAGGACACCAGATCACATTATAGATGGTTATGAGCCACCATGTGGTTGCTGGGAATTGAACTCAGCACCTTTGAAAGAGCAGCCAATTCTCTTAACCTCTGAGCCATCTCTCCAGCCCCCATTATAGCCATCCTCAAACTTCATTTTGTTTGAGATGTATCTATGTATCCGCCTGGGGCTGGAACGTACCCTATGGATCAGGGTAGCTGATCTGTCATTTTCCTACCTCAGCTTCCCATGTGCTGCTATTACAGGAAATATGCCGTCATGTCCAGCTACTATTAATATATGTATACATCTGTATTTATACAAATATATAAATATAAATATATATATATATATAATCTTTCTTTTGGTTACAAGTTTCTGAAACAAAATGTTTTTAGATTGTATTTATTTTATTTTATGTGTAGGAGTATTTTGCTTTCATAAGTATGTGTACTACATGCATGTGTGATGGCCACAGAGATCAGAACAGGGCTTTCTATCACCCAGAACTAGAGTTAGAGATAGTTCCAAGTCATCATGAGAACTGAACAAGGTTCTTCTGCAGAAGCAGCAAGTGCTGTTAGCTTGCTTCTAACTCACTCTGTCCCCCAGGCTGGCCTTGAACTCAGCAACCTTCCTCCCTCAAATACCTAAGTGGTAGGATTATAATTGCAAGCCACCATACTCAGCTTTTACCTTTTTTGCTTTTAAAAGTGTTTTGTCTTTAAAAAAAAAAAAAAAAAAATAGCACCAGGTTAGTCAATGACTTTAGATTCCTACCTGAAACAGTCGTGTAAAGATATCAAATTCAAAAACAGAAATATAATCATTGCAGGTCAGATCAATAGTGGACTTCAGAGCCATGGCCTCCAGCCCAGAACTGATGGGATGCACTTCATGAAGGGCCTGTCGAAAGCTCTTCCAAGGGACTATTGTCCTGGGGTGGGATGGAGTGAGAGAAGGCACAAAGAGAGAACACGTAACTGTAGACACTACTACCATTAAACAATGGCAAGCAAACTACATTAAGCTCCCAATAATAACAGCAATTCTCTCACAGAAGCCAAGTTATATTTAGACTGGGAATAGAAAGAAGGAAATAAAAGGATGTGCTTGTTAACTTCCTAATGAGTAACAGAGATGGTTTTCTACAGTTCTGTAGCCAAAAATGTCACATACTGATTCCTTTCTCATCTCTCTACAGAATTTGTTCTACCCTAGAAGCACAGAAGGAAGATGAGGTCATGCCTTATTTTAACATGGTTTTATCATGGGGACCTTGGTCAGTCTTGATCTTTCTATCCTCTTCCTCAGCCTCACCATACCAAGAGGAGAGGTGCAGACTACTATACCAAATTTTTCTTAGGTGAAGGAGTCTCACTATGTGGACCATGCTGGCCTGGAATGCATAGAGATTCACCTGTCTCTGTCTCCCAAGTGCTGGGACTAAATGTATGTTGTCACCTCTCCCAGCTTTGAGAATCATAATCAGTCCACATTTTATGTGATATAACATTATGCAATTTAATTTTATTTTTGTGGTGCTGGGAATCAAACCAAGGCCTTATGCATGTCAGACAAGCAGTATAAGCTCCATAATTCTTGCTCAAACATTAGTAGGTTTTGTTTGCTTGTTTTTTGGGGAAAAAGTTGACCAAGAACTTTTCTATTATTGTCTGGCCTCAAACATCCTGCCTCTCCTTCCCAAGTGCTGGAATTATAGGTGTGAGCTATCACGCCTGGCTGAGTATTAGCATTTTTTTTTAGTAGTATCTATCTATCTATCTATCTATCTATCTATCTATCTATCTATCTATCTATCTA